TATAACTCATGCTCAAATGTGTGAAATAATACTCTCAATTTGGGGTAATTATGTTAGGACCCAAATAAGTAGGTGTAATGTGAAAGCTAGCAAAACAAACCTTGAAAGACAATGGGTAAGAAGAAAAATGAGAAACACACCAATATGAGAGTACATAATATAGAGAGAAACAACCTCAACTAATTCACTTGAAATACAAAGAGGAACAAAAGTCTACCCCAAAACCGCAACTAGTCGAAATCCTTAGGACTACATTGTGAATGCTAATTAATTTAGAAGGAACAAGTCAATATTTAAAATCTTTTATAAAAGAAAAGGATATTAAAATATTTAAACATTTTCCTTAAATGAAAACTTATTTATGGTGAGAAATCGGGTTAAATAAAACCCAATAAATCTCCCTCTTGGCTTGAATTTTTGACAAAATAAATTTGTCCACCTTCTTGATATAATCTTCAGGAGCTTGAATCTCTTCACCATAATCTCCTCCATCAAATTTATCTCTCTACACAGAGAACCTCTCTGAAATAATTTTTCCAACAAAAATATTTGTTACTATAAAAAAGGTTGCGGCTAATACTACACCTGCCAAGATGAAAATCCATCTCTAACCTGGATCTATTATTGAGCCATGGATCTGATACCAATTGTTAGAACTCAAAAAAGCAGGTTTAGTGCGGAATCTAGCAAAGCAAACCTGAAAGACTATGAGTAAGAAGATAAACGACAAACACATTGAAAGACACAAAGATTTACGTGGTTCAGTCAATCGACCTACGTCCATAAAGGAGATGAGTAATCCACTATAAATATGAGAGTACAAAATATAGAGAGAAAAATCTTAACTAACTCACTCGGAATAGAAGGAGGTACACAATACGAGGAAGGTGATCGTCCGAACTACCTTTAAATCTATCACACAAGCTCTCAATATTTCATCTAAGGTCTGAATAGTATGCTTTGCATGGCCATCTATCCTTCTGCGGATGAAATGTTGTACTAAGGTTAACTTGAGTACCAAGACCTTCCTGAAACGACTTTCAGAATTGAGAGGTAAACTGAGGACCTCTATCTAAGATTACAGACAAAGGAACCCCATGCAACCTGACTATCTCATTAATGTGAAGCTTGGCGCAGTCCTAAGTCAAAACAATAGTCTTAACCACCAAAAAGCGTGCAAACTTAGTAACTCTATCAATAATCACCCAAATGGAGTCAGGGTGTCTGCTAGTATGAGGTAAACCTATGATGAAATCCATGTTGATCACTTTTCACTTCCTAGTAGGAATGTTGATCTCTTGAGTCATACCTCCTGGTTTCTGATTTTATACTTTCACTTGTTGGCAATTGGGGCACCTAGCCACAAAATATGCTATATCATTTTTCATGTTATACCACAAATAGACTTCCCGCAGATCGCGGTACATCTTAGTGGCGCCTGCATGAATAGAATTTCTGGAGTTATGGGCATTTACAAGAATATACTTTCTCAACTCGCCCACCTCATGAACGCATTATCGACCCTAATAGCGAAGTACACTATATCCTCCTTGGGAGAAAACCTTAACTCTTTGTTGATGGACTGCACCCTTAAGTTTGAGCAATATCAAATCACTGTCTTTCTTTTCCTTAACCTCCACACCAATGAATATTCAGATCCATTTTGAACTATCACACCACCATTTTATATACTCATAAGAAGAACTCCAAAGCAATCTCAAGTGATAGGAGCAACTTCTGTTCTCCTATTATTTTTCCACTTAGTATACTAGATAGGAGACTCATACTTAAGTTGGTAAGATGCTCACTCAACCCGATAATTCCCAGTTACCTGCATCACTTTAAAGATCTTCTTGACCTCATTAATGAAGTTTTGCGGATCTTCTCCAACTTGCTATCCTAGGAACTTTGGTGGATTCATCCTAAAAAATTCCCAAACTATAGCGATAGCGTACCCAACATTAACATTTGCAGGAATTAGAGCCCGCTGATTGTTCTAGTTGGACATACTCTGAGCCAATATCAGAATGACATTTCTGAATTCTGCATTGGAGACACTTGATCTGGGACTGGAGGAGGTCCATTTACGTTCCTGGCATTCCTGGCGTTAGCTCTACCAGGAAGTATGATCACTGAAACGTAGAACGTTGAATTATAATGAAGTTTGATTATACATACGACCAGTAACAAGAAAATCAAGTTTTTTCTTGAAAAACTTTGTAGCCTCTCTCTCTCGTTAAATGTGGTGCTTACTACACACCCATGAAAAGGACTCTACATAGTGTGGATTTGCAAACATCATAGCACACTTAAACCTGGTGTGTTGATACCAAGTTTTTCATGCAGCTACTCCGAGACGCAAACACAAGACCTAGGATCATAAGTGACCCCTTGCTAATTTTGTTCGCAATCATGAGAATACTAAAGATAAACTGAGAAATAAACTATGCGGAATCTAATTATGAAACGAAAGTGATGGAGAATAATCATATAAATCTGAATACATGAAAGTTGAGAGTTTTTATACAAAAGAGAAATCAAACTCTAAAACTAAAGCTGAAACTAACTTGTCTCGAATAAACCTCTAAACTGACAAAAAATGTTGGGACATGCCCCAACTAGATCTAGCAAAACTAAAACTAAAGCTAAGAGTAATGAAGATAAACACGCCACTAGTCGTCGAATAATGATGACTCATTATTGATGTTGCTGAGCTGATGATCGAGAACTGATCTAAGTGTGATCTGGATGGTGAGAACCTGAACCTATATGATGAGAATAGATGTAGCACAAGTATGTGTCAGTATTTGAAAGGTATAAAAACTGAAATAAACATATAACTAAACAAACAATAAATCAAGAGTATAATTCGTACATGATATAGATGTTGAGTACTGAGCTAACCAAATGCAGTGACTTAATGATAACATGATGAGACTGTGTACTGACATGTGGTCAAACAATGGAGTCTGATTGAACCGTGGGAGCTACTAATAATCGATAATAAAATCATAAGCTAAATGTGGAGTCCGATGTATACGTCCCTGACGAGCAAAAACACACTATAATTTTAGTGCTTCGCTAGTCAAAGATAGTATAGTATAAAGACCGTTTCCACAGGGGTTAATACAAATAATAGTTCAATCAAATCTTGCTAATTATTATTCAGGTGATCAAAATAAAAGAGTTGATTGTGGTTATAAACCACTTTTTTAGACTAAATTATAATTAAAAATCAATTGGTAACTATCAATTTTAATATCAATACAAAAAGATAGGGTACAATACTAAACAAGTGCATAATGATAATTGAGATTTGGTTACATTCATTTATCACAACTAAAATTTTATCATTCTCTCGAATTAGATAACTTATTAGAGTATCCTTAAGACTTACATTTTTCTTTCGAGGAAATCTCAAGTTAAAGAATAAACCAATTATACCCAAGTGATTTTAATATGCAAAAACATGTCAATGGATGTTCTTAAGGAAGTAATGTCTTTCGACTTTTTTTCCTTGAGATATAATCAATAATTATCAACAAGTTCCTTCGATTACTTTAGATAAAATATGTCGATTAAATTCAACAAAACTATGAAACAATATTCACAGATATACTCCTCTTTCGATTAAATAAAATAATGAACAAGGTTGCAATTTAATTCAAATTCCCATAAAAAGTTGAAGCATAAGAATGAAAATCAAAATACCAACAAATTCATCAATACAACATGTTTATCAATAACCTCTAAGAATCTACTCCGTGGATGAGAATAAGTTTACTAAGAACAAAAAGAGAAAAAGAAAACATAGACATCAAACTTTTAATCCCAACTTCCGTTTTGGATTTGAGTAGTGCACCACTTGTTCCTCTTCCTCTTGATCATCATCACTCTTTCTGCTCCTTTTTCTTGATCATCCCCAGCCCTAGGTCAAGCTACAACATCATATAGCATAGGGTTTCCTTTGAAATTTCAAAAATACCATTCCTTTAATGATTTCACGCCTCCACACTGCGCGGGCGCGCTGTTGGAAACCCAAGTGCCTGACCAGCGCGCGGAGAGGAAGTAACTTCAAAATCAAACACACAAGTGTGCCTCCGAAAGCTCGAACGCGTGAGAGGAAATGTATGGCTTGTGCCTAATATGGGCGCACTGCTGGGCGCGTGGACATGGAACACTTGCAGGTGTGTTTTTTTCATCCTTTAGCATTCTCGTTGGTATTCTTTCACTAATCATGTTAAATACTTGAATTAACAACCCCTATATACATGAGAAGAAGACCAATAATTCAAAAATTTACACTCAAGCTTATCTAAATCATCTCATTTCACTGCCTATCAAATACTTAAATGAAAATTTTGTTTCCAATACTCGATAGCTGCACCAAAATTTGACGAGTAGAAACACAATATAAGTTTAGTGCTTATCTAGTCAAAGATATTATATTTTAAAGATCATTTCCACACGTATTGGTACAAATAATATTCAATCAAATCTTGTTAACTATTATTTAGGTGATCAAAAGAAAAGAGTTTATTGTGGTTATGAACAACTTTTATAGACTAAATTATAATTAAATTCAATTGGTAACTATGAAGTTTAATATTGACACTAAAATATAGGGTACAAGACTAAATAAGTGCATAATAACAGTTGGGATTTGACTACATTCATTTATCACAACTAAAGTTCTATCAATTCTCTCGAATTCGATAGCTTATTAGAGGATCCTTAAGACTTATATTTTTGTTTTGAGTAAATGTCAAGTAAAAGGACAAACCAATTATATCCAAGTTATTTTAATATGCAAAGACATGTCAATGGTTGTTCTTAAAGAAGTAACGTCCTTCGACTATATTTCTTTGATATTTAATAAATAATTTTTTACAAGGTCCTTCGATTACTTTAGAGAAAAAATATTGATTAAATTAATTAAAACTATGCAACACTATTCCCCAAAATATTCCTCTTTCGATTAAATAAAGTAATGAACAAGGTTGCAATTTAATTTAAATTCCCATAACAAGTTCAAGCATAAGAATAAAAATCAAAATCCCAACAAATTTATCAATACACATGTTTTTCAAAGACCCTCTAAGAATCTACTTTGTGGATGAGAATAAGTTTACTAAGAACAAAAACAGAAAAGAAAACATATGCATCAAACTTTGAATCCTAACTTCCATTTTGGATTTCAGTAGTGTACCGCGTCTTCCTCTTCCTTCCTATCATCGTCACTCTTTCTGCTCCTTTTTATCGATGATCCCTAGACCTAGGGCAAGCTATAACATCATATAGCATAGGGTTATCTTTGAAATTCCAAAAATACCCTTCTTTTAATGATTTCACGCCTCCAAGCCGCGCGGGAGCACAACTGGAATTCCAAGTGCCCGACCGGCACACGGAGAGGCAACAGCTTCAAAATCAACCACATGGGCGCACCGCCGAGAGCCCAAGCGTGCGACCCGCGCGCAGAGAGGAAATGTTAGACTTGTGCTTCAAGCAGGTAGGGCTGGGCATTCAGTTTATTCGGTTCGATTTAATTTTTCAGATTTCAATTTGAAAAAAGACAAACTGAAACTGAACTGAAATAAATTCGATTCAGTTCCGTTTCTATAATTTTGGTTCAGTTCAGTTCGATTAATTTTTTCGGTTCTTACATATATAAAACATTGATCAGTAACACTAATACACTACAAAGAACAAAGACTAAATGAGGGAATTGTGGACTACAAATAATGACATGAATAACACTAGTAAGAAAGTGAAAAAAACTCTTTATCTGTCACTACTTCTTCTGCATTCACCTACATCTATTAATAGAGTGTCATTCTTGTTTGTTAACAAAACTCTGCATCAATTTCTTCTTGGAAATTGCTTGATAAGATTCACAAAACACAAATGTATCAACACATATCATACTAACAAATAACATTCTATGTTGTTCAGATTTTCCAAAAATATACGGATAAATGTGTCATATTGCAACAACATTTTTGGAGAGAGTCCAACAACATAGATGACAATAGTTATTCAACAAGAACAAAGAAATTACCTTGTCCCATAAATTACGTGCACTTTATAAGTGAGTATCTTGCACACATTAACACATACACTATACTAGTGCACGTTGCACTAGTGCTTACTGGCACAATAAGTGTCTATCTTGCACCTAAGTGCAAAAAGCCAAAAACGAAGTGCACGTTGCACAATTTATAATTGAATATCAAGACATTAACAATAACACAGACATGAATGGTGAAACACTAATCACTAACTTACTATTGAAAAACAAAATTTCAAAGTGACACTTCAAGTTCAAGATGCAACAAAAAGCTAAGAAACCAAGAGTATTCAAGATGCAACAAAAAACTAATAAACCAAGAGCATTAGAAATCAATAACAGTAAAAAAAAGAACCAAAAAGACAAAATAAGAATCAGCAAGACAACAACACTACTGCAGTCCAACACTATCCGAAGAAAGTAGCCATTCCTTGTGTGCATTTCATTGGAGTCCAACAACAACAGTAGAACTCGATCAGTTCACCATAATAACATTCAAACTATAAATATGCCTGAGAGAATATGAAACTCTTTAAATATATGATATAAAATAAACACAACTCAACATACAAAAAAGAGAAAAACAAGTGTTGAATGCTAATAGAAAAAGATTTAAATTAAAATATACTTACTTTTTGATAGTTATAACTACATATCCACAATACTAGATTCATTTCCACTATGAGCCATATCTAAAAAATATGAAAGAACTTGTTAGATATAAGCAACATAAATAAGAAATAACTTTTTATATAATGAGCACAAAATATTAAATTATTACCAAGTTCAAGTAGCGCAACATACTCTAGATCTTCCTCAACATTAATTGGAATTGGTTCACTTCTATACCAATCTTGAAGAGAAATAAGAGCTTGCACTAGTTTATAAGTCAGTGAACTCCTAAAAGGATTAAGAATACGACCGCCTGTGCTAAACGCACATTCAGATTCGACACTTGAAATAGGAATGTTTCGTGACGTCACGAGCCATCTCAACAAGAATAGGAAATCTGGCTCATCAAATTTCCACCAATTTAATATATCAAATCATCAGTCTCTAGCTCAACATCTTCAGCAAGATATTTACCCAACTTTGATTTACTACTTGAACTTCCACTAACTATTTTATGCCTAACAAATTCTTGTTTCGTTCTCATTGATCCTCTTTTTTTGAAAGTTGTCATCACCACTCACACTAGATATACTCGATGAGTTCCCAGATGAAACAGGTGAAGACGATGAAAATAAAGAGACTTTTGATGATTTCTTAACATAATGATCAAACAATGCTTTCATATATTTATCCACTGCACCAGCAAGTGACTCCCCAATTTCTTTTCCAAACATATCACCTATTACAAAACGAACACAATCAAGCTTGTTTCGAGAATCCAACACAACTGATATAAAAATTATTTGTTCATGTTATCTGATTCACCCCAATATTCTTTTGAATTTTTCTCTCATACTTTCTTCCATATTCTTCAAATTAGAATCTTCATTTTCGGCCATCTCTTTCAAAATAAGATCAAGCTCAGTAATTTCCAGAAAGTGCACATTATTGTAACAAACTTTGAACCAGAGACCTTCAAAGTAAGTGTATAAAATGTTTCAAGAAACTTAATCATCGACCTCACATTTTTCCAATCAACACTAGTGAGGATACCTGCTTTAGTTCCATCTTCGCAATCATGGGTACGGAGATAATCAAGAAACCTAATATTATAAAACTATATCTTTCAGATGCAAGTTCAAAGTGTTGTGCAGTATCAAGCATCAAGTATGTAGAGTTCTACTTGATAGGAACATCTAAACATAATGATTTCTTACAAGTTATCAATTGAGATTCACTTATTTCTTGCCAAATTTTGTCTAATGTATTTAACCGCTTGTCTCACTCGCTTGACTGACAGACCAATTTCCTTCAATCCTTCTTGCACAATAAGATTAAGAATATGCGTCATACATACACCTCATATGAAGATGCTGACCCTCCATTATGTTGGTTCCCGAATTAGTTAGTTGCTTAGATATTCCATTAATAGTAACACTATTGAAACTAGCATTATCAACGGTTATGGTAAACACATCATGCAAACCCTGGTCAAGGAAACAATTCGTAATTGAAGCTGTCATATCATCACCTTTATGACTAGAAATAGGATAAAAATTTATAATTCTTTTATGCAAGTTCCAATTTTTGTCTATAAAGTGGGCTGTTAGACACAATAGCTGATTATTTTGAATAGAGGTCAAAGTATCTGTCGTAAGACAAACTTTTGGATGTGCTTCTTTGAAAGACTTCTTCATGAGTTTTTTTTTCTTCACTATAAAGTTCATAACAATCTCTTGTCAAAATTCTATGAGAAAAAATATGAAATTGTGGCGCTGTAACTTTCATGAAATTCCTAAAACCTTCCTTCTCAACAATACTAAATGGCAAATGGCAAATCGTCAACAATTATCATTTGAACTAAAGCTCTTCTACTCCGTGCTTGATCAAATTTTAAAGTGCGAATCACCCCTTTCTTTTCTCCCTTTGAAGATGGTAAGAAATTTATTAACTTCTTACCATAATCTACGGCAGAGGGGAAGTTAGGACACTTCTTATTAGTTATATGGTTATTCATAGCCAAAGTATCATTACCTTTTGTAGCAGCAACATACACTTTCCACAGTAATTACATGTTGCTCTAATAGCTCCATCTTTATCGATGTATTTCTCAAAATGCTTCCAACAAGCAGCCCTAGGTTCCATGGCTTTTCTTTTCTTTGAAGATTCAATGTCCGTTTCAACTTCATTCAAATATGGAGTATTATATATGGTTTCATTTGAAGCCCCAGTTTCACTTATCTTACTTTGGGTTTCTGTCATCTCTGAAAAAGAAGAAGAAAAGATGAAAGCACTTAGAAGTTAGAACCATACAAAAACAGTGAGAATCGCAATAAAATAAGTGAGAATAAAAAATCAGTGAGAATACTCTTCATGAGTTCAGGTCGATGGATCGCCGCCTCGGGCAGTTGCAGACTTGCGGTTGTTCTTCAGTCTTCACTCACGCAGGTAGTACTTAGTTTGAAATGTAAAATATGAATTGTGAACGAGGTTTAGGGATTCAGCGTGAATAAAAATTTAGGGATATTGGATTTTGTTAAGTTGGGCTTAGCTGGGTTACTTAACTTCTTACAAACAAACACATAACTCTTAAAAGTTAAAAATATATATGTAGTGAATATCTATTACATAAATTTGTTTTTCGTTAACCGAAATAAAAAATATAAAAACCGAACTGAATTATCAAAATTTTAAAATTAAAAAACCAAGATCGAAATTAAAAATCAGTTCGATCGATTTTTTCGGTTTCGACCAAATTATGCCAGCCCTACAAGCGGAGGCAACACTCCCAAATGTATTTTTTTTTATCCTTTAATATTCTTGTTGGTCTTCTTTCACTAATCATGTTCAATACTTGAATTGACAACCCTACACACATGAAAAGCAGACCAACAATTATAAAATTTACACTCAAAGCTAATCTAAATCATCTCATTTCATTTCTTATTAGCCCTGTCGAGAGGATCCAATACACTCGGCCAAAGGTGTAGAGGCATGCTGACATGATCACCAAAATGATGCCCACAGAGGGGACTTACAGTTAACTTACGTGGCTGGGTAGTTCTTGGACTATATGGGTGACTGACCCTAGTCTGACTCAGTATTATTTTACTCCCAATAGATTAAATGCTTAACATATTATGACTGAATTATTGCAATACACTAGATAGCTCAAAATAATGACATGTAAACTGAGAATGCAACAATTAATCTGATAATAATGCATTCCTAATTGAGGCATGTATAACTGAGTACTGAAATATCTGATCTAACATGTGTAATTCAAGAACTATGGAAATATATAACTAGAGTTTTGACTTTCATGCAAGAAATGAAATAATAACATGGTAATTTGATTTGAAACATATAAATAACTAATTCATGATAAATTGGTGAAATTCTAGAAACCCTAGGTCTAGTTGATAATACGGAATTAAGAATCTGACTGAAATTTATGGACCTAATGGGCGAAAAAAACTCACTATTGAAATCTCAGATACCCTCTAACCAAGGAGAAATCTTTTGATTTCGAGGCTGGAACTGATCAAATCTTCTTGCATTCTTGAACTAGGGTTCTTGACTTTTTTTTATTCTCAAGCTCTAATTTTGTAAATTTTGATTAATGATTTAACTTAGTGAAGTTCTAGTTATATTTAGAGTATTGAACTAACTAAAACTTTATAATTTAGGGTCGAAATGATGTAGCTTAGGGGTCTAAAGAAATAGGAAAAGATTGAAAGATCCCTGACTCAACTGTTGTCGGAGTGACTGACGAACCATCGATTGACTGGCGGTCGGTATTGGTCATTCGTGATCAGTACTGAAGCTGGACTTTTGAGGGTTTGATCCTCATCCCTAGACCACGAAGCATGGTCTGACCTACGTTCCATAGGTACTAGCGTGTCTTGACCCTTACCCAATCTTCTAGTGTGTGTTTTAGGTGTGAGCCACGAACTGAGACCACAGATCGTGGCATGGCCTACCGCCCGTAGGTTCGGATGTGGGTCAGCACTTAGCTGATTTTTTCTGAGGCTTCTGGAAGGAGGGATGTAGTGACCATCCATGGACCACCACAGACTGTGGGTCACCCTAAGGTTTGTAGGTGGCACTTGTAGCTTCTGAAATTTTGCCATTTGGTTTGTTTTCAGATACAGGGTGCTACATATTATCTGATCGATTGTTTGATGTGTTGATTTTTATTTGGTTTAATTTCGGATGGTTGGTACTTCGACTTTAATTTTTTAATTTTTAATAAAATTTTAGGGAGTTTATATTTAAGGAATAGAAATGGTTTTTGCTAAATTTTCCTCTACTTGTAGAGATTCGAAGGGGCTGCTCATTAAGGGAACTATATTTTATGTGAATATACATTATTATGGAGTTTATATGACTTAAAATGGCAAATACTAAATTTTATGAGTGTGGTGTACATGTTTTTTCACTTTCGCACTGATAAATTTAAGGTACAATCTGGACGATCTGTTTACTCAAATACGGGTTATGACATTGCATTTTTTCAAGATCAGTTTTCAAAATAAAAATTCTACCAATTGACAAAAAGGGAATAAAAAATGAACTCATATTTTAACCAGATCCAACTAAATTTATTGGACTTTTTAATGAAGAGCTATGAATTAATGACGAAAGTTTTGATTACACAAAGAGCATAAGAACAAAAACCCAATGCAACAAATTCTGAATATTTTTCATGTGGTGGAAGTCATGGGAATAATGCTCACAAAATTTCAACATAGATAAAAACAAACATATTCAAGAAAGATATCAAGCATGGGAATAGCTAATATCACGAGGAATGAAAAATAAGTCTTGAACTATGATAATCAAAGTGCAATCTAAAGGTTTCATTATTTTGTCCTCTACTGGAAGATGTTAAATTACATTTTCATCCTTGATACAAAATTATTTATCATGCATCTCAATTAATATTGTTTGGCATATAAAAAAAATTAATATTTCAAATGTATCAATTGATGATTTTTTTTGTGTTTTAGTTCTATCAATTTTCAGATTTCTCTATAACCCGCCATCCCCCCCCCCCCCCCCACGCACATACACAAAGTAGTTCTCCTCGGGTGTAACGTTTATAGAGTTCTATTTTCCATCCAAATCCATTTTTCTTTTCAGTTATAGCAAATTGGGGATCTACTTGAGTAGTTCCCCCCTTTCAACTCACTATTCCTTTAATCTTGTATGGTAAGTTATTCTTTTTTCGTTTAGACTTGAATTTGATTGCATAGCCTTGCCAAGGCTAAGGTTGAGGGTTCAAGTCCCTCCTTCCGCTCCTGGCTTCGTCGTTTAGTGGTAACAAGTGGAGTGCATAAGCCACTTTAGAGATAGGGGATCCATGTTGAGGAATTTTTTGCTGGTGGTGATTTTCTGCATTAGTTTTTATTTTAATTAAGATAGATCGTTATTATATTTTGAAAGTTACTCTAAACGAAACATGATTTACAGATTTGTTCCTTTGAAGATTTAGAGTGATTTTTTCAATATTTATTTGTTAAAGTATAATTCTTGGTATGTATTTTTCTTCTCAATTTTACTATTAATATTTTTTTAACGTTTTGAAGAAATGTGTGACTTGAGTATTATGTATATGATGAAATTCACCATTTCACAATTTATGATCTCCCAAAAGTGGAGGGTTACAATTTTCGATGTGAAGTTGGGGATATAGCTTGCTTGTTTTAGTTCAATTTATTAATTTTATATTAACCTTTTGATAGTTGTTTCAGTGTAGATGAAATTGTTACCTAAAATAATATTTTCTAAATTATAAACTATGGTTTTTGCAACTTCTGATGGTCTCTTTCAAACTTCACAAGTCGTGTTTGCTAATAAGTTCATGGATATAAATTCTTTCGTGTTTTCCATTGATCCTTTGGGGAATCAATACATTTTTTTATAGAGTTGAATGAATTTTAGTTAAGTTATTTTCAATATTTTTTTGAAAAATCATGTGATTATATATCTTCTTATTTGTTTTGCATAGTTCTTTTGGGGTTTTTCCTTCAAGTGTTAATGAAGGGAAAGGAAAAAATCACTAGCAATCACTTAATTTTTTTTTATTATACTGCTGCGCTAAATGTACATTACAGATATACCTAATTGTGCAATACATAGATTGACATTACTATATCATTGTGATTTCAGGTTTAGCAAGCACTTCAATAACTTTAAATCAGGAAACTTTTAGCTAGAAGAAAAGAAAATCAACAACAATGCAACGTCATACAAGTACAACAAACACCTTATTTCAAATGAGGCCACTTATGATTTTGTTCGTGTCAGAACAATGACATCTCCTTCACATAGCTCTAGAATATTCTATACAAGACCAGAATTCCATCTTATTGGTATGGTACCCAATATTTTGGGAAGTTATCATTCCTCTAATGAAAACCTAATTGTTGTTTTGGGTAATGGAACAAACATATACTATGTTTCTATTGTTCCAAGAAATCCTTTTTCCTTTTGGATTCCACAAGGATTTCTAACAAATACAATGATTCCCAATTTTTCATTATCATTACCGCGTATATTATGGAACTACACCCCAAGACTTGTGGAAGTGAATCATGCACTTGATCGTATGACATTGCCATTGCGTCTTACCAATTTTCCCATGGTAAATTTCTTTCGCCTTCTGTTTCTTTTCCTTTTAATTGTAAATTTGTTGCAATCTTCACATAATTAGTTTGCTAATGCTCAATACTTGATGTAATTACTAACTTAAACTTATAATGACATAAGTATATTTTTAGTATTAAGAGTTAATTATTTTTTAAGGTTTGACGCCCTTATGGTTTTAATGATTGAATTGTATTAGTTGTTAAATCTTCATAGTAATAGGCACTACATTGCTTTTATGGAACCATGGTGCCAACCTAAAATATACTACACATTTGTCTGTTTTCTCTTCTTTTTTTCATATGCTTATCTTCTAATATTTAAATATTTGTTAAACAAAATGAAAAAAAGGTAAGGCTTGTAATTGATCACTTTAGAAATTACAATAAGATATTACTAGAAGTAAAAGTTTGTTTAGGAATATGGGTGTGGGATGCTGAGCACGGCGACAATGAGTAAACGCTTTTACATAGGAAACAACTTTGTTCGGTCGAGAAAATAAAAATAGATATGAACTGATAATTTATATTTTTTGATATTTTGTTTTGGATGAGATATACACCAAAAGGAATTAATGTTATCATTATCTTGCTCAAAAAAATTTAAATAGCCTAATGAGATTTGCTTCTTCCTTAGTAGCCCAGGAGTAAGCTTTTGTTTCTGTAAGAATTATTGAAACATACATTTAAAACAATAAAAAGACGAATATAAGAATTTATCACTTTACATGATTTTTTTGAATAATAATAATTTTGTCTTATTCATAAAATATTCATAGCTAGTTGATTTTTCTTTATGTATGATTAATCTGTAAAAATTACTTGCTTAGAGATTATAATAAGTTGTAATGTCATTTCTGGCAGAAAATTTCTTGTCTCAAACTTTTTATAAGTTTGATT